CGCCTTGAGCCGCGGCAACATTCCTCCTGGGTTTTGCAGCAGCAAGCGTGAGACTTTCGATGTGTGCAAGATCTTGCAGCGACCTTGGCTGGCCACCTAAGAGCTTAACTATTGCAGCTGCGCTGCCCTTCGGCAAGGCGGTGTTGCAGTTCTGAAGCGCAGGCCCACCCTGCGGTTGGGATGACCAATACTGCTCGGGCCTGCGAGGCCCAGGCAGAAATTTGTGTGCCTGCGCTAAAAAGTCATTGCGCGTGTGGGCTTTGTGATGTTTGCGAACACTTGCAGCACACTCAAAAGCCACGTGCGCTGTGACTTTATACCTCACAGCTGTGGGCAGCTTGTTCGCCCGCCCGCCCGCCCTCCCCTGAGTGATTCGCGCGCCCAAGTTGCGCGAAAGGGGATGAACAATACTGCTCGGGCCTGCGAATTAAGGGGGATACGAGGAGTTTAGACTTATGCCCTAAGCACTAAACTGCGCTAGGGTGTTTTTCGTTTATTAGGTCTGCAGCGTCATGTGAGCTATAGTCTAAACTCCTAGTATCCCCCTTGATAAGCCCTATAATAGGAACCCTATATAATCCGTTATATAACCCCTTTTAAGGAGTTTAGGCTACAGCCCATGTCAAGTCCTAGTGCATGAGAGGCAACCGAAGGGACCTCCTCCGGACATGGCTATCCCTCCTCCGCGCAGCAGCTGGATCAGGCCCCTAAACCCTAAACCCTAAACTTTAAACTCTGAACCTAAACCCTAAACCTTAAGTCAGGCAAGGATTCTGGGATTCAGTGTCCATGCTTGAATGGGGGCTTCCCAAAATTGGGGGTACCTTTTTGGAGGTCCCCATCATAAACTCTATGCGATTTTGGGGTTTATATTGGGGTCCTCTATTCTGTGAAATTACCAAGAAATTTCCAACGCTATGTTGGGGTCAGGTAGCTCATTATACAATGATGGTATAGGGTAGGAGGCTTTCGCACAACTGGCGGATCTTAGGGACTTCGAAGGGGGGGGGCCCTATTGGATATCTAAGCAGGGTCTAGGAATCCTTTGAGTTTGGGGGTTCAATAAGCCCACGATCAATCCAAAGTAAATCCAGAGGAAGGACTGGGGGTTTAGGGTTTAGGGCCCGATACTTGAGATTGTTAATCATAATATTTCATCAAGGCAGATACCTTATGTGATGCTCGGGATCCCTGATTTGATTGCGGGAGTATTCTCTTACTTCGGGGGAAAGGGGCTCCTTGGGCCGGGGGCTTCTTTTTTGAGCATGTAGCTACTTCTCATTGTCGGCGTGATCCCTCATGTGCGATTCTCTACATAGTTAGGGGCAGAACATACACATTAATTTACATACGCCCACAGAGGAGCCCGACATTTTGAAAAGCCTTCCAACTCCATGGAGGGCATGTGAAGGTTGATCCTCCTAAACTATCCAGAATAGATCCAATTCGCGCATAGCAGTTTCTCAAAGTCCCGGTATGTCTCCCTGGTTACATCGTAGTTTTTGGGGGGATATAGGGAACCACCCTTGCCAGACACTTCCACACATGTATATAACAAAATATGGGCCTTCTCATTCTCGATAGAACCTGGGATAATATATTTGTGGAGGGAGGACCATGAATTCGGAATACAAGCCATTTCCACAGTTCAGTGGGTTTCACCATACTTTGGGCCTTTCTTGGCCCGGATCTAAGGTCTGAAAGCGTGTCAAGCCTTGAAAGCTTAAACGTTAGAACGCCTAAGTAAAAAAGACCCAAACCCTCGGCCCTAACCCGGAACCCTAAACCCTA